TTTGAAATAATTCAAGGAATCGGCAGATCCGGGTTTTGTTACTGAGGCTGTTCCGGAGCTCTTATGTGACAATCGCTTCGAGGAAATATTCTCTCCTCCGGATATTATCAATCCGTTGAGTGTTTCCGTTCAAGCTAGTAGTAAAAAGAGACTGATCTTGGATTTAAGGTATATTAATGTGCATATATTCAATTATAATAAAGTTCGGATATAACGCGCGCTGTCATTGATTGAAAGAGCGTGCTCTATGAGAGTATAGAGCGTAGAGCTGAGCTAAAGCTGTCACGCCATCTGCCAATTGTACTATGTTCGACCTTTTCCGGGACTTCTTTCTAGCTTTTTTCCGATAATTGAAAGTTAAATTTCGGAACTGAAGCGAGCCGGCAAGTGGCAACAGAAGAATCAAATGACGGCATTGGGGCGGGTTCCCGTTGAATTCTGCTACTGTTTGCTTTACCATTCGATCCTTACCTTAGTATTTTCATTTATAGTCATACAGATGTATGATTCAACCAAAAATTGTGCGTAACTGTAGTTTTGGCTGGCTTAACATCTGCTATTGTGTTCTTTTAATTTCTTGCAAAGTCTGCAAACGTCATGTAAAACAAAGTCATCTACTAAATTCTCCACCAATTCACATAGGTAATTAAGCTAACTGAATTAAGCTAGATGCAAGCCTGTGTCATTTAGAAAAATATCAAGGTTAGAAATCAATTTTTCGGTAGCGAGATCGATCCAGCCCTCTTTCCCGTACCTTTAGTTATGAATTATCAAGCGTCGGAAATCACTCTATTGCCACTTAAGTGGGTGTTTCAGATTGATTCCTCTCAAAATACTTCTACGTTTGATACACCATTTAAACACCAAGCTTAATAAATTTGTGGGACACAGTTGCGTAATTCGATAAGAAATCGCGCCTGACTGTTGCTTAGACTTGCAAACAGTGATCCGCTATCTAATTCTCTACCAAATTGGAGGAGTCTCTGTGTAGGTCGAGGGTAAAGGTCGAGGTCCTCGAGGTAAAGAGGAAGAGTGGGTAGAGGTAAAAAGTCACATAGCTAATGAAGTATAGAAGTCAGCAATTATGAGCATAAATATCGAAATTATGAAAAAAAAATCAAGATCGAGCCGGTTCGCTTTCTTTATTCTGGAAAATGGAACAAAGGGGAAGAAAATTTCAGGCTTCAAGAGTAGCGCTCAGAGGTTACGCTTTCTTAGCTTGTGTTTTTATCGTCTTGACCAAAAAATGTCACCACGTCATCATAGTGAACGTCATAAACCACAATCCACAAGCTGCCAACTCTCACACACTAAATTTCACCACAGAGCCACAAACCAATCAGCTGTTGTTCTCAAAATAGTCGCTCTGCAGGAACGCGCATTTAAAATAAATTAAAACAGATTATTATTGGAATAAAGGTATGTACAGGGAAATTTTGGTTGCGAGATTGACTGGCCGAGAATCCTCTGCAATTTTGAAAATATCTAGTTTGCTGGCATTTGCCACCTGACTTTTCCAACTCAGCTTTCAGTTGTTATCATTCAGAAGAAGGTCCTCTCTCTCACTTTTTCTAACAATGCTCTTCACAACGAAGGCAGAGAAATTAAAGAGAAACCTCACACGGAAAGCCCAACTTTCAACGAATTCAGTTGAGAACACTATACAGTGGACGTTTGAAGGAAAAAACCTCTTTTGACTGACTCTATAATCACCTTGAGGGCTTATGGGTAACAAAAGGAAAATTACTTCATGAACCCAAGGGACATAATGCGTCTAGAATACATCAAATTCAATCAATCTTACGGGTATGAAATACGCCAGATACGTATGTGAAAAGAGGACTTTATTTCGACCTGTCTTATAGTGATACCTTAGGATAGGATTTAGTGATCATATCAGACCAAACGTTGGACCAAACTTAAATCTTTTGCAGGTTTATTTTTACATATTCTCGTGACTTTCATGCTGTACAATTAGGCAGTGGGCCTAACTAATCCCTGGTTACAATGCAACATAAACTGCCCTAATAATGAATCAAGAACTATGCCCCTGGGTAAAAAAAAAACGTAGGCGATGTAAGCAACTGGGAGCTCAACCCCCTCAATAATGATCCTGCTGACTGAATTCCATCCGGAGTAAGCGTTGAAAATGGCATAGCTACAACACTAACCGACCAGTTCTTTGCCCATTTTAGTGCATTAGCCTTCTAAACTGGCCGAGCGATGGATGTAGAGATCGACACTCTGGTACACAACGGCATCAATGACAGCAGGTATGCCGCATACGATGTCATTGATTGAAAAACCATCCCATGCAACAGTTTATATATAACCGCTGTGCGAATGGCCATGCGAATGCCTGCTGTGCGAATGGCCATGCGAATGCCTGCTGTGCGAATGCCCATTACAACTACATGAAAGAATGTGTTCGGGGAGGTTTTGAACTGACATTTCTTTGAAAAAGATTTTAAAAAGTGATAAAATGAATTAACCTTGCAGATACAATAGCTTTTCTTCCCTTCCAAATTTTGACAAGGGCGACCCTCTATCCCCTTCCCTATTCTTCCGCTGTTTGAGTGAGCACCAACGATTTGCCTTCTTGGAATAAATACCACAACTCGTCCAACATCAATGTCTAAACTCATGTGGCTACAAAAACACTGTTTCCATCTCCTCTGGGTCCCAGGCTCCGGCGACCCTGGTGGTCCCACTTCCCCTTGGGTCCAGGGGCGCCATACCGTCCCACGTGCTCAAAAAATAATGAGTTAATCTTGCCATGCCGCCATTTTTGAAAGTCAGCCTTGATTTACAAGTGCTCAATAGAGTTAGTTGATGTCAGGAGAAGTAATGGGCTCCTGGTTAATGTATATTAATATAAGTTAGGAAAATGTCAAGGAAGAGTGACAATTGCCCCACCACAACAGTACGCAGAAGAGACTTTGCGTCGATTTTACTATATTAAAAACACGACTTTTTCCACAACAGTCCCACGGAAACTCGCTTAATGACTGTTGCACACTCTATGATTTGCCGTCGCAGTACTTGATTACAGATTCACCTGATTGTAAACAAAAGTAAGATTTTAGCTCGTTCATTGACCAAATACTGAAACATACTTGAGCCATGGCTAATTAGAGAGAACATTATTTGGTTTAGGGGACATATTGCGTCCAGGATATGTCACATTTATTCAATCCGCGGTGCGTCATGTAAGGAGTAAGTATGAACTATTGCTGAAATTAAGAGATCCTCGCAGCTAAGAACACTACTGAAACGATTAATTGTAAATAGGACCTGAAAAAAATTCAGGCCCGTACGGGATTTGAACCCATGACCTCTGCGATACCGGTGCAGCGTACGGGCCTGAATTTTTTTCAGGTCCTATTTACAACTACTCGTTTCAGTAGTGTTCTTAGCTGCGAGGATCTCTTAATTTCATCTCTCCACCGCAGTGCCAATATATGAATTTTCATATATCTAAAATCATCATGAACTATTGTGCTAATCTATTCTCAAAGATACTTTTTGCATATTATGTTGTAATCGTATAAAAGGCTGATGGACCAAACATAAGTTTATTCGCAGATTTAATGTAACATTTTGGCGTGACCTCCACCCTGTTTAATCGAGACAGCGTTTGTACCTGACTAATCCACGGTTACAATATAAAATAAGTTGAGCTTATAATGAATCAAGAACTATACGCTTGGGTGGAAAGAGCACTGCCTATTAAAGCAACAGGGGGCTCAATCTTCTCAATGATGATTCTACTGACTGAATGCCAGCCGGTGTGGACATTGAAAATACCAAAACTATGACACTGACCGACGTACAAACCAACACGCACCCAGCCTCTGGCGATTCCTGTGCTGTAGACTTTTAATTCAACTCATTTCCCCCTGTAGTACGTTATGTAATAAACAGTCTCTGCACTTGTATGCATCGATCATTTCTGGTTTAATTAGTAGACAGACAACTGTAAACACTTATTTACGGAGTGGAAGGCCTCATAGAGGGATTTTTAATAATGTTTTTCAGTGGATAAAAGAACGCGTGGGGCGGCTCGACCTGTTAGACAAAATTTGTTTGTGTATACCACGCAGGTATGGTGCTTTTAGCGCGCGCTGATTGGCTATTTCAGAGATGCCTAATCAAGAGTTCGTGTTCCGATAATTTTTCTTTACACTTTTCTTGTGAGGTATATTCGAAAATAATAACTCACTCTAGTGTCTGTGAAAGTGGTTAATGTTTACCAAGCCGTAAGGTAAATATCCACCTCTACCCACTTCTACTTCGGTGGGTAATATTTGACTATACGCTTTTATTTGCCGAACCTTTTCAGCCAAGGTTTTGAACGTGGGAATTATGAGGTACTAAGAATATAAGAGATTCGATGGGAGAGTAAACCTAAAGCAAGGAACTTAAGTCTTTTAAGAGTACCAGGGACAACTTGAAACTATGGCAAATCTAATATGGCAGCATTTGCCTCCTAATTTTTTTTGGAATTTAGCATGCAGTTGTTATTATACACAGTGAGGCAGTCTCTCTCACTCCATTCGATAATGTATTTCATACTGAAAACCAAGAAATTATTCAGAGGACTTTCACTGAGAATGCTTTACTTTCAAACATCTGCAATTTGCTCAATTGAGTAAACTTGGGTGGATATGTGATAGCAAAGTCACATAGAATACTTTCAGCTCGTTTAATATTCAATATTCTGTCTGATAAATCATTTGGCCACGGCTTTTTTGGGAGAAATGTTATTCTATGAATGAAAGGGACCCATTTCCTCCCGAATCGATTATGTCACGTTTATTCAATCAAGTTACGCCTACATGAGGACGCCACATACTTATAACACCGCGGATTGTCATACAAAGTGGGAAAATGAGCAATAATGTCTGTCTTCCCAAAGTGGAAATGTTTCCCAATGTACAGCTATGTTTCATCAAAATGATAAAAAGAACACATGGACCAAAATTAAGTTTCTTCGCAGGTTTATTTCCATGTTTTGTGATGAGTTCCACCCAATACAGTTAAGACACCCTTAACACAGTGAGCCTAACTACCCGGCAGTTGCAATTCAACATTCGACTGCCCCTATGATAAATCAAGAACTAGCGGGTGGAAAGAGCACTGCTGCCTATTTAAGCAACAGGAGGCTCAATCTCTTCAATAATGATCCTGCTTACTGAATTCCAGCCGGTGTAAGCGTTGAAAATACCAAAACCATGGCACTGACCGACGTGCAGGCCAACACGCACGAGGCCTTTGCCGATTCCTGTGCAGTAGCCCTCTACGTTGGCGGGGCGATGGATATTCAGGTCGACATTCTGGTAGACAACAGCATCAATAGCAGCGGGAGCCTTGCATTCGATGTCGTTGAAGGTTAAAAACCATCTCATGCAACAGTGTTTGCAACCGGCGATGCGAAGGTTGCCTATGTAAACAACACGGAGGTATGTGTTTGGGGCAGCCTTGGTGAACGGACATTCCTTAAAAGGAAAGGTTCAAAACAATTTATTAGATGCATTGATGCAGTAAATATCTCTTTTTTCGTCTTCCTGTTCAATCTTGACAATGATGACTGCTATATATCCCCCTCCACCTTCTCTACTGTAAGAGTGAGCACCAACTATTTGCCTTCTCGGAATACATACCAGAACTTTTCCATTATCAGTCTCAGAATTGATGTGGTTCCAAAAACACTGTTTCCATCTCCTTTGGGTCCCAGGCTCTCCTTGGATTCCCGCTGGCCCTGGTGGTCCCACTTCCCCGTTGGGTCCAGGTACACCATCCCGTCCCGGCAGTCCATCCCGTCCTGGTGCTCCATCTCGTCCCGGTAATCCATCTCGACCTGCTGGGCCTGCTTTTACTGGACAGCCTTTTTCCCTTATCTCCTGCAATTGTAAAACATTTAATTGCGACTTTACATGCCACTCTCTGAAGAAACCCAAGAGACACTCCTTGGATGACTTGTGATCGACGATCACTTCTCCAAGAGACGAATAACTTTGTAACTCTGTAACTGCGGTGAATTAAGTCTATATATTTGACCTGTTAATAACACCTGAAAAAATAAGTCCTTACAAGTGAACTCCCGACAATAGTGGAAATTTTCATACAGTTTTGAAAGAATTTCTCGCCACATCCTGATCCGAACAGCCCGTTCTTACCACGACTCGAATGTCGAAGTTAAATTTGTGCCTGACTCAAAAACGTTTCTACAAAAATGAATACTTTACATGGCTTTAAGTAACTTACTCTTTCCTTTAGTTCATCTGTGCCGATCACAAGCTGAAAAAAAAGGAGGTACGACAGCGCAAATGTCTGCAAAAGTTTTTTCCGATCCATCCTTCTTGAGAGAGAGAGTTCAAAATACCTTGCGTCCCAATATCATTTGTTTTAGTATGCTTCTTTTTATTTACAATTAAATGATATTTTCGAAATAACTTTTTAATTAGTTCAACTTTAGATAAACATACTTGTTTTTTTTTCGCCGAAAAATGTCCAAATTAGATTGTAGGACAGATCGAGACATTGAATTTGTTCGTATCTTCCCCCCAAAAAAAAGAGCTGTTGGCCGTGTTGTTGACCGTGCAATTAAATATTTGCTATTAGTTTAATCAGTTAATTTGCCGCACATCACGTAGTGATTTGAAAAGTCTAAGTTAATGGTCTAGGTGGATAAAATATATCCACGAAGCGTGATTATAAATATTTGTCGCTAGATTAATTGATTATTATTTTGGTCATCCGCTAATTAATTTCAAACGATTCAAAAGAGTGGAACGCATTTCTGATACTCAACTCATTTTCCTCTGTAGTACGTTTTGTAATAAACAGCCTCTACACATGTACGCACTGATCCTTCTAATTTAATAAGTTGACAGACAATTGTAATAACTTAATAACTGAGTGGAAGGCCTCCTAGAGGGATTGTTTAACAATATCTTTTCGATGAAATAATTCTTGAGGCAGTACGCCCCAAAAGAATTTGTTTGTTAAAACCACACAGGCATGGTGCTTTTCGCGAGTGCAAATTTGCTGTCTCGGAGATGTTCGCGAGTACCATTTATCTCCAAGCAGCCGATGAGAGTAAATCTCCTTTATAATCGTTTTTCTCAGCACTGACTACAAAAAATTTCTCGTTCTCGGTTGGTATATTCGAAGAGCATTATTCACCCTTATGTCGGTAAAAGTGGTGAATACTTACCGAGCCGTAGGTAAATATTTACTACAGCTAATATCTACTTAATTGAATAATTTTCAATTCTTTGACAAATCTGTCAAATCAGTCGAATCTAGCTAAGGTTATGAAAATTATGCACACGAAGTACTCTGAAGATATGATATTCTAAACGGAAGTGGACCTTGAGCTACGATCGAAAGTTTTTTACGAGTATTGGGGAGATCCCCAATGTGCTTAGTGCTAAGGGTGTTTATTCACGAGCTATGCGTTTGACTGCGACAAACTCTGACTCTCCCACGATGATTTCCCCTAAGTCAGCTTTGTTAAATAACAGCCTATCATTTGCAATGCTTTTATCTGCCGCATTTATTTTGCCAAGTTTATGAACAGTTTAAATATTATGTACTCAAAAGATGAGAGAGCGAATAGAAGAGGGGACCTCGAGGAAAGAAATATAATGTCTAGAGTGTTAATCGCGGATCAAAGTACTCTCTGCCTTTTGTTAAGAAATAAAAACAATTCTGGCCGAGATCAATTCAGGAGTGTTTGTGAAATAGTCGCAACGGCTAATAACAATGGTTGAAAGAATAATTAAAGTTTCATGAGCTTGTGGCACCGAACATTTCGGGGACTGTCAAGAGCAAATTCCCCCTCGAAGATTTTAGTCTTTATGTTTTTGGTCTCGCGTTCGGATGCTTTGCCAATGAGCCACAAAGAACTCGATCGCCAATTAGGTCATATATTAATTAGGTCCTGCATACCATAACTATCAGCATTGACTAAAGAGTGGTGACAGAGGAACACAATATCTCACTTTTTCATTTGATTCGATGAGAAGGTGGCGAGATGTTTCTAAGCCAATGACAAGGAATAGAAGCAAAGCCACGAGCGCAATGGAATTTGCAGCAAGAGATTATTTTCTTGCTTTGCAGTTCTTCCAGAAAGAAGAACAGGACTTAATATGGGGTAAATCCTTGTCTCTGACTCAACTTCTCTAAGCAGCCGAGACAAAATGAAACTGAGAAAAAAGAGAGCGAACTATTTGCCGATAGAGCACGCAGTTTCATCATAAATGTATGTAAAAGGCTTTCTGCAAGCGGACATCCCCTACAGCCCCCAAATGAACAAAAATTGTGGTAGCTTGCTTTAGTCTGAAGTCAGTTTCCGACTTTTTGTTGACAAGTTATCAGTTGTCGTCAAAAATTTCTCTGGCTCAGTTTCATAACGCTCTGAGGTGGCTTGGTGTCTGGTTTCGCCTCGTTAAAAGATGCTAATCGTTAGTATAACATTTCTTTTGTAATTGTGAGAGGTAACTGGTATATTTTGTGTACTTTGAGGTTTTAAAAATTATGTCCTAAGATCTTACTCTCTGCTGATGGCGGCTCAAACATATCTTCTCAGAATGCAGAATGAATATGTTTCATAGATAAGCTTTTCTTTTGTGAGGTATTTTGAATATCAATCTGATCATTCCTTTTGATGGATGGTTTCCATTTGCGTGGGCTGGCGTTGACGACTCATGTAAGATGAAAAGGGCACGGGGAATAGGAGAGAGGAATGACAGAAGATTTTATCGATTCATCCGTCCTATGAGAGCTTTAAAATCTACAAATTTCTTATGAGCAAGTTTAATTTATTCATCTATCATGCTATTATGTTCACAAACATTTTTTGTTAATACTTTCACTTAAAAAAAGGATATCCACTTAATTTTTTTTCTGCTCAAAACATCAGGAACGACAACGAAGGTCCTCAGCTGCTTGAAGATTGTGAAAACGTCGTCCCCAGGTTCCAGATCTCGCCAATTCTTCCCTTCCCTCCCCACCCCCCCCGACTGGTCTCTTAATCCCCTTGAGGAAACTCTTTTATAGCCAATGATGGAGAGCTTTATTACAGTTTTTATTATAATGAGGGGTTAGAAAATAAACTAACAAGAGCTCCGCTTTTAAGCTTGGCTAAATCTATATATTACCTAATGCATAGAGACTGGCTTTCACCTTCTACTGGTGAATCCACTGATGATTAAAAGTCTTCAACCTAAACTGAAGTGAGGGAGCAGTAAAACTCATATTTCAGGTATTCTTTTTTTTTTGATGTAGAGAAATGACGATAAAGTAGAAAGATAATGTCAAACTTCCACGGTGTGAATTACAAAATAAACAGTAAAGGGCCCATGAACGATCTTTCGCAATCTCGATATTTACACCAGGTGATTATGGATTATTCCTTTCCTTAGGGAGTAATAAAGAAAATTAAAGTTTTCTAGCCGTTATATAACCCGCTGCACTAAACTGCGCTAGAGACTGAAAAACAAGAAATGAGCAATCTTACTAAAAACACGTGCCTTTTCCCTCGCAGCGTTCTCATAAGGATCAATTTTACTTATCATTACCAACAATCCAAGACAAGATGGTGGATATCCCTCAGTATGCAAGTGTTAGAAGTTATGTCCTAACTCGTCGTTCAGTTGACTATTTCTTTTATTCTCTCTTTTCTTACCCAGGTTATTACAACGGGGACTAGCTCTGATCTCTCAAGGGAAGTGTGGGTCACCGCTTATAAAGGTGACGCTTACTGAGCTGTCAATCTCTAACCTTCGTCATGCTTGTACACTTAACTGGTGAATCACGCTAAACTACGCAGAGCGGAGTTCACATACTAAGTAGATACCTTCGCGATATTTACGCTTTATAAATTGACCTTCTACCTTACGGTCAAGGTCGAGCGAAACAAAAACAGGATTGACAATATAAAAACTATAATGAACTTACTAACAGAATTAAAATCATACTTGAAAAGATATCTTAAGAGAAAATAGTCTTTGAAGACTGCCACATATCGGCAGAATAAACAGAACATTCGGAGAAGAAAGGGCGTACCCAAGGTACCGCCCCTAAAAGAGCTTCGTGCTAGCCGTATAAGTTATCTGATTACAAATTCAGTGCGGAAGATGAAAAGTACTGCATGTTGACACCTGAAGTCACCTCTAAGTAAAAGAGATGTCGAGCGTGCTAAATTATACCTGTAAGATACGACCGCCGAAAGGAATAAGAAATGATAAACTGGCTTATTATAATTTTTACTGAGTGGCTTGTGCTAATATATTATTTCTACTCATTTTCATCGTTCCAATAAGTAAAAAAAAAAAAAACACCTTTAGTGAAGATTCTTGCTAGATGCCAATTTTGTCTTTTGACACAAGCTTAGTAAGTAAGTGAGGTCATAACTTTTAAGCTGGGTAGCAGCATGCACGATAACTTAACAATAAGGAGTGTTCTAGAAATGATGATCGAATCTCAATACACTTAACATTACCAAAATATAAGGCATCTTTTGAGGTTTCACGCGGGAAAATACAACTCCTGATAACTACAATAACTTCTCATATTTTCTCTGTAAGTTGCCATCAAGTGCCACTATAAATCCTTCAATCTCTCCTTGAGTAACAAACGAGTCCAAAAGATGGTCTTCGCATTCTTTCCTTCGAAGGTTGTCCACTCGTAATAGCCTGTTTTTGGATCTATTTCTCATAGTTTGGAGCGGGGATTTTTTTCTCCTAAAACTGCTTACTTTTCTTCGTTTAAGTATGAGCGGGAGGGGGTGGGGGAGGGGCAAGCATTAAGCTTTAAATGCGGCGAAATTCTCGCGCAAATCCAAACAAAAGAACTCCCAAAATGAGGGAATCTGTTCACCGTTTCGAAAAAAGCAACCAGGCCAGCAATTGGTGCAAAAACATAGACCCAAGATGGGTAGGGAAGAAGCGATAAGATAATTTATAACTTTTACGTTATTTGTTGGGAAGTAAAAAAGTATACTGAATGCTGCATATGAAAAATAGAAAAACAAAATGTCTACATCCAGCGTCGGCTGAAGAAAATCTATTTAATTGGGCATAATCGTTACGTACCGTTTACCGTTACCGTACACCATTTTGGATACAACTGAGCATGCGCCTACCAGTTTCCGCTGGACTGCCTCTCAAAATATCGTGGGAGCAAAATCTCACCTGTTGTAGCTAACGTGATGTTATATAAATAGCATGTAGGTGTTGGCTATTTTCTTTCCGCTTCAATATTAACAATTTTCACTATTTCAGATCTAGTCAACTGTGCCGAGCACAGTCACAACAGAATCACAAAACAAAGAATAAACACCCCATGTAACTAAATAAAACCTCGTGGTAAGATGAAATTCTTT